TAACTGTGTACTCGTTCCGTTTAATGCTTTTAATAAGGGCAAAATCAATCAAAACTGGCGATTGGTTAAAGTCCGTTGGCCAGTAAGTCGATGTTCCGCAAGAAGCAACCTCGAAATTATTTGCAATTACTGTATCATACAGCTGCCTACCTCTAGGACTAATGAGTCTGGACCCCCATGAGGTATTTTTAGCGTTGTAGTCACCAGCTGCAATAACTTTTAGCCTGTGATTCTAAAGCAGTTTTTCACGGTAAAGTTTCCGAGACCAGAAGTATGTCGATACCTTCTGTGTGCAAAAATTGTTCAACATCGAGTTTATGTTGGGATAGCCCATTCGCGTTCCAGTAAAATATTTTCAGTGGGTTAATTTTTTACTAAGTAAAACTCGCAGAAGCAAAACTTCTTGACTTGAGTTTTCATCATCTCCTGGAGCATACTCTGCATATTAGACATAAAACTATTTATTGTCTGTTTGAGGTTATCGATTAAATTTGAATTACTATTAGCCTATGGACCATCTTTTACAACATTGACGTAAGAAAAGTGTTGTGCGTTTAAATCATTTTGCTTGCCACTAAAATGGGGCATTTGTACTTGGTTGAGTACTAGCAACAGAGCCAGTGTAGAGGCTAGGAAATTGAGCTTTCTTATAGTTAACATGTGCGGGTGTACGTACTACTTTTGGTTTCATAATGTGCGTGTACACCTTACAGCCCCTGTAATTTGCGGTAGGTTTTTTTCCCACAATTACTGCATTTTTTGATTTTGGTGTAATTTTTGGCGTGCAAGCATTCTGAAGAGCTATGAGCATCGCCGCAAATTACGCAAACCGATGTTAGCTTATAATAAGCCTTCGTGTGCCCAAATTTTTGACAATTAGTGCACTGCACCGGACCCTTACGTTTTAGGGGTTTTTGACGGTAATTCTTCTGTTAAGAAGATATCGCAAGTTATATATGGGATGCACTGAGTTTTTCGATTTTATGTGCGATGCATCGAACAAACTGCGATCTCTACTCCGTGCATTGGTTATGGGGCCTTATTTCTATTTAAAATATTGTGCACCGAACTTACCCCATAACCCTCTTCTTCTAGTGCGCTCGTAATGTCATCAGTAGACACAGAGCTATCTATGCCTTTTATTACAACTACCAGGACTTTGGCGCTTTTCAGTTGGCAAGTGTAATAACTCTTCTTCTATCTATCCGATTGGCAACCGCACTTTCGTTTAAATTTGCTTTTAAAATGTTAAGGTAATTATATTTGTTCATTGTATGCTCAATGAACACAAGATAACCTACTCCAGATGCTACCATACATCAACACATCATGAGCGACCCACCACCATGTTTTACCGTGGCAGTCATATTCCTTGGGTTAAGCTCAGTATTCACTTTTCTCCAAACTTTTTCATGTCCATCCGAGCCAAAAATATTGTATTTACTTTCGTCCGAGAAAATAACAGAATTCCAGAAATGTTTGTCTTTATTTTCGTGCTCTTTCACAAACTGCAATCTTTTTTGTCTGTTAGTGTTGCTTATTAATGGCTTTTTACGGACATTACAACCATGGTAGCCAGCATCATACAGTACTCGGCGAATAGTTTGGGGATTGCAGGTTTTACCAGTCTAGTTTTCAATCTCTGCACTCACTTTTGGTGCACTTTTCTTTGGGTTCATCTGTATCTTGTGTGTTATAATACGCCGCTCGTTTGCATCAAATATTTTTGGCCGCCCAGATCTTTCCTTAATTTTTGTATATCCGTCTTTTTTATATTTTTTTTTATTATTTTTTGATTAGTTGAACTACTTTTATTTGTTATTAATCCAATTTGCCTCTAATTTTTTTGTTCTTTACGTTGTTTTATTATAAATTCTTTTAAATCTTGTGATAGTTCTCTTCCGCGCGGCGCGGAAAAATTTAAATTAAATTACGGCTAAAATTTTATTAAAACTTTCAAATCTATAATAATAATAACTATTTATAGATTTTGAAGCGAACAAATACTGTGTGCCAGTCGAAAACATACTGAAATGGTAAATTGCATACATATTTATGTGACGGGATTTTTGGTTTTTAGTGAGAAAATCAGACAGTTCTTAATAACTGGAAATGTGAATGACATCAATCTATCATACTCAGGAAGGCGATATTATGTTTAATTGTTATAGTCAATCGTCCGTATTCATTTTGAATTATATACATATGTACATATATTCAAGATTCAATATTATTTCTATGTACTAATCTATTTCTGTAGTTAATTCTAATCTTATTCCATAAATCTTCTTTTATTACTTGTTTCTGGTATCTAGGCTTTAGCTTATTTCTCTCCCCTGTAATTTTTTTTTAAGTGTAGTGTGAGTATGTAATATAATATCATATATTCTTCCTTTGTTTATAGATCTAGCGAAAGGGATATGGGTATTGTTTATTGCTATTTTCAATTATTGTCGTAATTTCTGCCTTTATATCCGTTCGAAACGGTAAATTCACGTTTATTGAGGAATGTATTTGATTTATTTTATTCCTTATTTTTTCCCTCAAATATTCAATTTTTTCTTTATTTAAGCTGGTATTTTCTTCGGCTGGTGCTTCAGAGAATTCTTCCTTCAAAGTAATTTCATTTAGATAATTTTCTTTATTTTCGGTAAGTACATCGACTGGCGTTGTAGAACTTTTATGTTCCACATTATATTTAATTTAATTTATTAAACGCGGACGCATGATCAATACGAACGAGCAATTCAAGCGCGGTATCCATCTCTAGAGTTGTCACAGGATGTTGGCGGAGACGGCAATTCTTTGGTAGCCAGCGGAGGATTATAGCTATAGTTCTGAATAGTCGTTTGATGGAACTAAATGGCTGTGTTAATGGAATATGTTGTCCATCTATATGTCGGGTGGTGAGGTGCAATCGAATTGAAGATGCGAAGGTTAAAATTCTGACCCTCCCTCAATCTGCGCAGTTACAACTTCTCGTAATTCCGGTACCTGGTTACCAATCTGGACCCTTCCACCATAAATTTTGGGTCAGAAACTCTGATGAAGTCACGCCACGGCTGCCGCGATCTGCTGGATTCGGTTCTGAGTGTACATAATGCCACAAATTTATAGATGTCACTTCGTGTAATTGCCGAACCTGATAATTGTCTGAATCCTGTTGGCAACATATGTTTTTAATAACATTGACTGTTTACGTAGCCAGCGCAAGACTACTAGAATACTAGAGTGCGTCAGTAAGTACACAGAAGCATCCTCTAACTAAGCGCTCTACGAACATTACCAATCGTCTAGGCTAATAGAACAGCTCAACATAGTTTGAATAGAGGGATTGTGGCACCTTTCAATGGCGCAATCTTAGTATGTGCGATGAGCAATGATACCAAGTATTGTCATCAATATTGATAGTACGTGCACTATCCACTGCAGCGTAGGCCTTCTGACTGTCATCACAAAATCCATAGAGAGTAGTACGACTAGTTGTATTCCTCTCAAGACACCGTGGTTCACGAACCTTGTCGAGAGTACATAAGTCATCCCGAAATTTAGACCAGATATGGCACAGATCTTTTGATAGTTTCGTATCCCAAGATATATCCGCAGACCAAAGAGCCTTTATAAATGCCTTGCCCGATATAATGATTGGTGCCAAAAATCCAGTTGAGTTACGTCACTGAGCACCCGTCGCTTCGTGGAAAATTCTTAACACCGTAGCTATAAGGAATATCAATATTGCATTCATGTAAAGAAGATCTTTTCCAATTTTGACCACAACGGCGGCTCTATTTCAGTTCCCCTTCCGTAGTTTGAAACAGACAGTCGACATACATTCTTGGCTAAAGTCATTGTTTTCTTCAACGTCAGTACAGCTCGTGAGGAAGTCGTCTCCGTAAAATGTAGAAAGAATGGCAGTGCGCGTCAACTCAGCTTGTTTATGGTCCCTCACCACTCTATAATTGTCAACCCATTGGTGCAGCGCTCGCACTGCATTGTAAAGACTACATGCCATGCCATACGTGAGAGTAACTGCCTTTCTTTGGAATCGGTAAAGGATATAGTTCAACGAATTCTGAATGGTTGGACTAACATTAAAAATTACACGAATCTTGTTTGGTACGGCATAATGCGGAATGTAAAATATACGATGGCAATCACTGTATGTACCTAAAGCTTCCATGTGACCTAGGTCGATATACTTGTACTTCTTCATGAAAGCAAAATATTTTTACGTAATAGTGTATCAGAGGCCAGCCGACGCTCCAAACGATAGAATTGAAAGGCATTGCCATAAAATTCCCTAGGGGTGGTGCGTTAACTTGCATTAGTAAGCGCTCCATTTAACGCCCTTCTAATGTTCATTAGTGAGTCATTGAGAATATGCGCTAACATTCATCATCAATAATCTCGTCGGCATCAGACCCCTCGACGAACTTCCAAAAGTTGCTTATAATCTCGTCCAAGCGAAACTTTACCAAAATTTGAGCGCTATCTGAGCGATGGTCTGAATTATTTATTGAAGATGTTGATGCGGACCCAAAAATAACCCAACCCAAACTCGAAAGTAGTGCATTGATAGTCTCTTACTTCAAAATGAGCAGACCAGCCAAGTGTTTATACTGATTTCTAAAAAATTGTGCTGTTGGTTTGAGTGTTATTGCCACGACGCCCTTGGAGTGTGTACAGGATAATGCACCAATACCATCGACTTCTACGTCATAGCTACTTCTGTGGATAATCAAAGCATAAGAAAGCGTTCTGTAATAAAACTTACTTGTGACCCGGGAGCACATAAAATCCACCTCCTATTTCGCAAGACTGTGAAGCGCTACGTGGTTAATGAGCATGCGCTAGTATTGGGATCTCGCCGAATTCAAAAGTTGCTCTGTCTTGGATACATCTAATTTACTTACGAAAATCAGCAATTGAAACTCTCCAAATTATCCATGTTCTTATTCCTCCCAAGAGGTCCAAAAAATATGGTTAATAAAACGCAAGACTAAACTTAAAAACACGTCTGTTTATTGCGGCGATCCAAATAGGAGAATATTCTTTCAGGAATAGAACAATATTTAAAGCAAATAACTGAAGTAAGGAATGATAGGTAATAGAGAAACACTTTGCACAGCGTGCATCGTGTGCTATGACAAAAAAACAAAAATTTAAAATAAATCTTGAAAAGTCACGAAAGCTGGTATGTTCTTTTATTTTCATTTTCACTCTCGAATTCGCTTTCTAAATTCTTAATCCAACTTGTATGTTTGGCCAAATTAGTTAAAATTGTCGTACGTGTTTCAGAACATGCTCCGCCATCGGATACTATACCAAACTGAACGTTGTCATTAAATATTCCAGGACTACCTCTATCATCAGTACAAATATCAGAAATTTTCGTGCGATCACCAGAACAAAATACGTAATCAGTGTCATCATCTTCACTCAGATATTGGACACACTTCTTTTCAGAATATATTTTAGTTTTTGTGAAACGCAAATTCTTAGTCATCAGTACATTAGTCTTATTGCTCGATAGTCCCCACCCAAAAACATATATGGATGAGGGCTGTGTCCAATTTGCATCAGGTAATCTGACTTGTCCTACAAGTTGATAAGTATTATTGAATGGTCGCAATAAATGTAGAAGTGCTACGTTATAAGAGTGGCTGTTTTGCACATATTTTGGATGATGAACGATCTCTTTGATTCTTCTTAGTTTTCCGCTATTTTTGAAGGCTGTAGTTCCTGCACGGACCAAAAGATCCGCTGGTTTTACATCTTTGATGCAACTGGCCGCCGTAATCACTATATCATTAGTTAATAAGGAGCCACCACAAATTAACTGACGGTTTCTTATAATAGAAACCACCCAGGGTGCTCCGCCAATTGGCACTTTTTGTCCGCCAATAATTAAATTTGCTCTGCTTCGGTCGCTATTTGGTTTAGCTGCGTTTAAAGCACTCACACAAAAACCAATAAGAAAAATAAAATATGAATTCTGACTGAGCTTCATGCTGATGAGAGATTTTAATATGTTTCTCAATTAGCGCTGCATTGTCTTTTATAGTTTCTAATAACAAAACTAACTCACTTTCACCTGAAATTTGTCTATTAAAGTGATTTTAAATTAAAACTTTTCCACTTCATCGTCTTTTGCTTTGAATTAGTTCCAGTTCACCTATATTTGCATATTCTTGTAGCAAAGCATATGTATCTTATACTTCATAAATATTGAGATTTAATTAGTGTCAGTTTGTGTGTTGTTTGTGAATTGCAAATAAGATTTGTTTTAAACATTTATTTTTATTAATAGTATAAACTTCTCGTTGACAGTTTAAAAACAACAATAATTTCAAGACAATTTTTAGTAAGCATAAATCGACTTCGCGATTTATATCAATAATTAATTAATTAGAAATTCTGTTGCTAAATTTATGCTATATTAAAGTAAGTGTATTTTGCCTTAAGTCGTGCCATTATTTGAAATTTCCAAGGGCATTAGGACTGCACTGTAACGCTGATGCCGCAAGAAAATTCCAAAAAAACCTCGGAAAAACTTTTAAAATCATCTGATCTAAATGTGTATACGCGGAATTTGCTGTAACTATGTTGGGACTTAGAAGGCCAGTAGAATGATTGTTTAAATATAGTCTAAACTATAAATATTTAACTGCTGATCTAAAAAATCCCAACCATAATAAAAGCATAAATCCAAATTATAGCAGCCAATCTCAATAACAATCGAAATGTATAGTAACTGATTTTCAAAGGTCCTTTATTGCTCCAAGCACACACTTTTACAGCAAGGCGGCAGATTATTCCGTAGCGATCTTTTTTGGACATACGGCACTATAACAGAGTCGGATTAGTACTGACAATGTTCTGCCAAACGCTCGATATATTAATTCGCGCACATTAAGTTGCAGTTTAATAGCAGATTTATTTTATTTACAAAATATACGATTATCACCTGTCTATGCCTCTCATACAACAGGCGTGCATTGCTGTGAAATCTTTTGTGAATATAAGCATGTGTTTACATATGTACATATATCAACGTTAAGCGCCGACACACCCTCAAGGGAAAAAGTTCTCTGGAGATCATTGCAGCTGATAATATCAGAACTGCAATTTATTTGAGATAAAAAAATATTTTATGCGGATGAGAAAGAAAATGTATAACTTGATGGTGACCATTCTAGACCTTTATACTTTTATATTAATATCCAATAAATTGTTTTAATTAGCTCATTATCATAACGGTTGTAGGTTTATATAATAAAGACTTCCTAAAAACTATTGTAGTATATATGTATGTATGTATTCGACAATTAAAGTCAAAGTTATTGAGTCGTTTTTGAATTTAATAAACTTATTTTATAATTTAATAAACTTATGGTCAATAATTTTTGCATTTCCTACAAACTTGTTGGAAAACGGTTAAATTTAATATGTAACATATATAGCGTTACATCTACAAATACAAAGGAAGTCACAAAAATGTTAGAAACGTATTTACAGGGTTACATATTAACGTATATATGTATATATGTATATAATATCATATATTACTTTTGAAAGCGACCGAGATTCGGGGACATCTGAATATGTGGTTTTTCTGGCTTATTCGCATTGCAACCGCATATTGAGTTGCAGCTGCCCTTTAAAATGTGTTCGTCTGATATTCAATATTGCTCTCATACATATAGTATGAGATATATACATATAGTATATGTACCAGATATAAGTATGAGTAAATCCATCAGACATTCACACATATTGTCGCCCAGTTTCTTCGAAGGGAGAAAATACCCGCTTCAGTTATTTTCTTTAATCTAATCCTATATCTAATGTGATAATCTAAATTTTGTACAAATTTTTATTTTGCAGTTGATGAAATGGAACCATGGAAATGGCCCTCAAAGTAATTTGTTATTTTCTAATTTAGACAAATGCTCATTGTAAGCAAAATGTTTGTTTAAATTTAAAAAGAAAAACGTAATCAGTTTTATATTTATTATTATTTTATATTCGAAACTCCTCTTGATAAAGGCATTACCAAAGAGCCAAGAGAATAGAGAAGCCGAAAATTTAAAATCAAATCTTTTTGAGTACTAATTTGTAGTTTTCATATAGGGAGCAAGGAAAAGAAAAATTTCGAAAAGGAAAATGCAAATAAACTAGTAGATCAAAGCGTTGCTGTGACTATGGTATACCCTAAATAATATTATAATAAACTATTCAAAACAGTGAAAATATGATGATATATAACGTTCTTGACTTTCCTATTACGAAAGGTTTTAACTCACATGCACTTTCACCTGTTCGGACCTCCTATCTGGCCACAGCGCAGTTTAGCTAGAGGTAAATACGCCAGTTCTCGCAATGAACAAATCCACAAGTGTACTTGGTAAAGGGCAAACATTTTTAATACTATACATGGCTAGAGAACAATGTGAACCCCAAGATCACCATTTGCTGTGAGGCAGATATTGACCATGCGGAAGTCTTGACCAGAAGCATACAAAATGCTGTCTATTGCTAGATCCACACAGATCCCCCACAAGTGGAGAGACGTATTTGGTTGTTGCGAAATCAGGAGAAAACAATCTTTGGAATGCGTCTAGACAAAAGAAAAAACCCAAATTTCAAATGTCTATCATTTATCAACAGCAGAGATCTCTGGTGCCGAGCCATTAGCTACCAATCGCTGAAATAGATGCTGTAGAAGTATAGGAGGAGATCAAAGCAATGACAAACGAAAAATCAGCATAATCATCGAGTTCTTTGATGGTATGCTCAGACTCGGCTATTTTCGTTCTCGATGGAAATGTTTTGATTCATATCGACGGATGAGACAACTGGTAATTACTTCGAAAATATTTAAAGAATATTTTTCCGTAGACTTTCGCCTCTGCTGGAGGTGAAACAACTTATCCCGGATCACCAGTTTGGCTTCAGAAAGCTTCATGGCACAATTGAGCAATGCCGCCGATAGGAAATACTGTTCTGCAGTGCAGAGCTGATGTACCTCAAAGCAGCATTCTTGCGCCTGTAGTCTACATTCTGACCATTCCAATTACACAACTGTCCTCCTAGTGATTAATTCTGACACTGCACCGCTGAAGTCGAGTAGGAATTCACTGTAAAAGAAACTATGGAATAATTTAGTAGTCGTTATTCTCTATTGGAGAAGCATAATAATGTAATTGCGATCCAACTTCTGGATAATAGTCAACTATGTAGGAGACTAAGAAGATATCATCCATTGGATCTCCCCTTTCGATTCAATTGATCTCACCTTAATTTTTGTAGAATATTATATATTATTATGTACATACAGTGTATCACAAAAATAAGTATGCACTATGTACTTATGTGCGTAAAAAAAGTCATATCAATTGCAAAGTAAAAATAAAACTTTTCGTGTTTCTACAATAACAATTACACATAACATCGCCTTCTTGAGTATGATAGATCGATGTCATTCACATTTCCCGTTATTAAGGACCGTTGGATTTTCTCAGTAAAAACCAAAATTCTTGTCACATAAGCAGAGAATGTTAATAAATAGAGAAAGCGCAAATGTTAAGAAGTACTAAATTGAGCTTTTCACAAGAGGGGACATCGAAAAATACAACTTCGACTCTTTTGAAACACGAATAAGGCTATAAAAAGACACAAAGAATGTTCTTAAATGAATTATGCGCATCTTGATTTACATTTGCATATTACAAAAAAATCATAATATTTGTAATTTTAAATAAACCTTCAAATTATATAAGAGGATTATTGGTTAAAGTCGCAGAATTTACAACAAAATAAGAATTATGGATAAATTCATCAACACATTTTTGTGCGTTGCATGAACAATATCTAATAAGCAAAAGATAGCAATAAAATAGTGGCTAAGCGGCCGCGATTTCGCTTTACGGTGGCTCAGGTCGTAAGCGTGAAGGAGTTAAGCCATTCCCAATACAAACGCTTAAGTTCGAATCCTGTAAATCATAAATCTTAATTTTTATTTTATTTTATTATTTGAGATTTTAGCTAATTTCAATTCAATTACTTTAATAGCATATTTTACTTCCTGAGATAATTCAAAATATTCAGGAAATATGTTCATATGTTTAGGTTTATTGCATATTCCATTATTTATGCGTATTTACACAAATGTGACAATCACACATACATTCATAAGTACACGTACGCTGAGGCTTGCTTCTTCTAGCCCGGCACAAACAATGACTTTTGTCAACAGTTTTTGCTTTTTCCGAGAAGCAAGTTGAACAATGGCATGCAAGGAGGAGTCTGAGGTGGACTGCCACAAAATTATATCAACTATATATTTATTAATCGAATTTTTTTTAAAAACATTTAAATAAATATGTATTTATGTGTATGTATATTTTTACGTAAATATTATAATATTGCGTAACTAAGCCCTAAGATATCAGTATTTCTGAATACAAATTAATCAATATAATAATAAAAAATAAATCCTCCGTTGAAACGCCTCTGACTATGATGGCACGCCATGGAAGTAATGTGCGAGTTCTCGCGGAGACGGGGCGGAGCAAAAAATGGGGTTCTGACAAAAGGTTGAAAAAACCCAAATGACAACTTTGCCGACAAACACATATATGTACATACGAGCTCGCATACATATCGCCGCCGAATTTTGCGCAATGTCAGTCGGTTATGTTGTCGCGTTTGTCGTTTTTGCAGTGTTTAGCTATTGAAAATTGACTTATGCTCTTTTAAAATATTGCGATTACCGATTGGGCTGCATTTTCATAGCGTCGTATTTGGATAAAATGGGCTAAATCGACAAACTATGAAATAATGATAATAAGTAAACATATAAAAGTACTATATGCAGTGTGCTTAGAATATATAGAAGTAGTTAAAGATTTCATATGAATGGCAATATTATATAAATTTTATATAATGTCAAATATAATGCATAACATGAAATAAATTAAAATAATATTTCAAATCGCTAAGAGGTCATGCTGCGAATTCTCTTTTTTGAAGGGAACATCAGACAAATTCTTCAATTTCAGATTTTCAGCAAATGTTGCGAGGAAGCCAATAAAGTCTGGGTTCACCCGACACATTTTTTTAAGTGAAGTAAAAACACAATGTTAATAGGTAATTCAGTTCAAATTTTCTGCATGTATTTCTTCTTTATATTCTTAAGTTCAAAATGCAAAAACAACAAGTAAGGAAGGGCTAAGTTCGGATGCAACCGAACATTTTACACTCTCGCATAGTCAAATGGTATACTCGTTTGAGATTTCTTTATATATTTGAATAATTAGAGCAATCGTTCCTGTGATTTGTTGTATACGCTTATAATTTATTTTATATAGAATGAATTACAACTGTATTGAGGAGTATGAAAATAAATTGTTTTTTGACAATGAATAACATTTTTTATTTATTTTATCGATATTATTATACATGTTTAGCTTTAAAATAATAAATATTAACAACTTTAAAAATTATATTAATATATTAATTTGTATATAATATTTACAATATTAAACATAAATTTTTATATAGATATATACATATATCCAAATTATATTTCTTTTCTCCTTATACTATTTAATTTCTATCATATATCTATAAAATAATGTCTTATATAATAACAAATTATTCATATAATATAAATTTTCTTAATTAGATTATTTACATATTTTGCTTAAAATTGTCTTAAAAACTACTGTCAAAATTGCTATACCATTTCTTAATATATATTTAAAAAAAAAAAGTCTGAAAACTTTAGTTGTAAATAGAGACACAAATACCGTCATGATAGCTGTGTACTGTCTCAAAAGTAATTGCATTAACATGGGAAGGATCCATGTTTGAAAATGCCCAATCAATTTGAGTACCGGCAGGTGTAGTTGAATATTCTACACCAAGCAGGGAACTAAAGTTTTTATCTTGGAGCAGATTTCCTATTGAATTCCCTGTAGACATTAAAAAATGTTAAAATATCCAACAATTAGCACATTTTGATTGCATAACTCAGAAGTAAGGACTTCCTGAAGTTCTACAATTAAATGTCTGACAGAGAAAGCTGAATTTCTGTATAGAACCAGAATATTATTTAATACTGAAACATTTAAACAAAATCGCTTCCAAAACTTTGCAGCCTGAATAAATTTTCTTTACAGTCTTTGGTTATATAGAGCTAGCAATACTATGCTTTGCATATATATTATAAAGCCCTGTTTATTTCTGTTGCTTGTTTCCGTGCTATCTATCC